TGTCCTTTAGCTTTCTTGTTCAAGCTGCCACTCTACCTCTTTAGCCACAGTTCTACTTCTAGTTCTCTGCTGGTTAATTGGAGATAAGAATCTCACTGATGGGCTGGGAAGGTGGCTTAATGGTAGAGTGCTTGCCTAGCATGCATGAGGCTCTGAGTTCAATTCCTTGGTACCACATAAATAAATAAATTTAAAAAAAAATCTCACTGATTTAGCCAGGAACAGGTGGCTCATGCCTGTAATCCTAGCTACTCAGCAGGCTGAGATCTGAGCATAGCTCTTCAAAAGCCAGACTGGGAAGTCTGTGAGACTCTTTATCTCCACTAAACTACCAGAAAAAGCAAAATACAGAAGTAGAGCTGTGGCTCAAGTGGTAGAGTGCTAGACCTGAGCACAAAAGCTCAGAGATAGCTACCAGGCCCAGATTCAAGTCCCAGAACTGGCATAAAGAAAAAAAAAAAAGAATCTTACTGAATTTCCCAACTGTAAATCAATCCTCAGATCTTAGCCTTCTGAGTAGCTAGGATTGTAGGCATGGGCCATTGTTGCCTTGCTCTGTTGTTTTTTTTCTTTTTTCTTTTTTGCCAGTCCTAGGGCTTGAACTCAGGGCCTGGCACCTGTCCCTGAGCTTCTTTGTGCTCAAGGCTAGTACTCTACCACTTGAGGCACAGTGCCACTTCCAGCTTTTTCTGTTTATGTGGTACTGAAGAATCAGACTCAGGGCTTCATGCATGCTAGGCAAGCACTCTACCACTAAGTCTTTGCTTACTGATGAAGCAAAGACTATTGTAAGTTTTTCTCCCAACTGGATTTCATCTTCTGGTTGGTAACAAGAGTTTTGTATGGACGCATGTGGGTGTACATGCGTGTTAGTCTACTAACTAGTTCACTTTTTAAGTATTACTCCCACCTCCTTCCCCTGCTCCCCCCCACCCCCAGCAGCTCTCCAAACTATTTTTCCTTTGTAAAGTAATTGAATGGGGGCGGCTGAGAGCTCTGCAGTCTCTCAGGCTTGGTTGGTCTCCAGGGGCACTGGTTGCTGGGTGAGGTGGAATGGTGAACAATTCATTCCTAGTTCAATGTATTTCTAATTTGTGTGTGTGTGTGTGTTTTCACTGACTTATTTTTGTTGTTGTTTTTCTCTACTGGCACCAAATATAATCAACACATGGATTTAATTTGCCAAGGAAAAGGGCCATAAGCAACTGTAAATTGTCAAAACTGACAGATGTCGGCCTGCAGTAACAAAGCTGAGTGGAACAGCCTGCTTTTGCACATCATAAGGAGCTGTGACAGCTCAACCAGGATGCTTGAGAGGCATGGAAGAAGATGTGTGAAACACGCATCATTCCTTCTAAGGCCTGCAAAACCTTTAGAATCCCCCAATAGGAAGCGGGGGAGGAGGGGGCAATCAACCATTGTTCTAATGTTAAGTTCCAAAATGCTCAAATAATGAGAGGGCTGGGAATGTGGCTTAACGGTAAAGTGCATGCCTAGCATGCATGAAGCCCTGGGTTCGATTCCTCAGTACCACATACACAGAAAAAGCTGGAAGTGGTGCTGTGGCTCAAGTGGAATAGTGCTAGCCTTGAGCAAAAGAAACTCACAGACAGTGCCAAGGTCCTGAGTTCAAGCTCTAGGACTGGCAAAAAAACAAAACAAAAAAAAGCAATGAGAGCAAGACTCAAACTTGCTTTGGCATCCAGGTCTCCAAGAGCCTGGAGACTGTGAGGCTGGTGCCAGAGTACACAATGCCTCCTGCTGAGCATCCTAACTTGGGCCATTTCCTTTCAATCTGTCAATTATCCTTTTCCAATGGGGCATTTTCTTTATGATATCTGAATACCTTTGTCAAATCTTTATGTTTCTCATGACTGTAGTCGGGTTTTTTTTGTTTTTGTCAGTCATGGGGTCTGAACTCTTAGCAGAGTCCTGAAATCTGCTAAGAACTCAGAATTAACTGGTTTGAGAGTGCCAACTTCAGATGGGAACAGCTGTTGCAACAACCCTAGCATAGACTTTCCATGGAGCCTGGGCTCTGCCCCTCTGTCCTACTGGGCAGGCAGATAAGGCAGATATTCTTCCATTTTATTTCCTTTTTTTGTGTGTGTGGTACTGGGGATAGAACAAGGGGCCTGAGCTAAACCCCAAGCAGTAACAGAGATTTTTAGGCTGAACAGCCAGTTTATTTCCAAGGTGTTGATAACTACAGCTAGACTCCAAAGGTGTTTTTTTTTTTTTTTTTTTCCCAGTTGTGGGGCCTCAACTCTGGGCCTGGGCGCTGTCCCTCAGCTCTTCAGCTCAAGGCTAGCGCTCTACCACTTGAGCCACAGTGCCACTTCCAGCTATTTTTGCTTATGTGGTGCTGAGGAATCAAACCCAGGGCCACATGCATGCAAGGCAAGCACTCTACCACCTTGCCAGCTCTTTGTTTTTTGTTTTTTTGGCTAGTCCTGGGGCTTGAACTCAGGGCCTGGACACTGTGCCTGAGCTTTTTTTGCTCAAGGCTAGCACTCTACCACTTGAGCCACAGCACCACTTCTGGCTTTTTCTGTTTAAGTGGTACTGATGAATTGAACCCAGGGTTTCATGCATGCTAGGCAAGCACTCTACCACTAAGTCACATTCCCCGCTCTCCAAAGACTTCGTGTGTGTGTGTATTGGGATTTGAACTCAGGACCCAATGCCTGATAGGCAGATGCTGTCCTGCTGAGTCACATCTTTGGCATTTTGCACTAGTTATTTTCAGATAGGGTTTCACTTTTTGCCTAGGCCAGTACCTGGACTGTAATCCTTTTATTTTACACTTCTGCCAGGGCTTAGATGACAGATATGTACCATTGTGCCCAATTATTGAGATGGGGATATTTTTACCTTTGGCTAAGTCTCCAACTGCAATCCTTCAACATCCTGAGTAGCTAGAATTACAAGCATGAGCTGCCATATTTGGGTGGATTAAAATACTCTTGAACTCCTACTAGAAAAAACAGGAGGAGAGAAAAGGTAGGGCGGAAAAAAAAGGAAAAGCTGGTGGCTAACACTTATAATCCTAGCTACTTGGGAGGCTAAGATCTGAGAATCACAATTCAAAGCCAGCTTGGGCAGGCAAGTCTGTGAAACTCCAATGAACTGCCAGAAAATGGAAGTGGAGCTATCATTCAAAGTGGTAGAAACTAGCCTTGAGCAAAAGCTCAGGGATAGCATCTAGGTCCTGAGTTCAAGCCCCGGGGACTGGCAAAAACAAACAAAAAAACGAATAAGGGCATACAAGTAGGCAGAGACCAAGGAAAGAGGCAGGCAAGCAACTCTGCAACAATATTCATTCCTTTATTGTTGACTGTGTTAATCTGAACAGAGCTGAGGCCTGCAGGTTACAGGCAGCACTGAGGTGTGACACATTTTTGCTCAACTGAGAGGCCTCTGTCCTAAGCCAAGGGGACAGAGGGTAATGTTATATATATATATATATTTATATATTACATATGTCCCATACAATCATATGTATAGAGTGACAAGAATGGGCCTCTGCATTAACTGTTGTCCTAAATAAAGACCATAGCAATTGACAGGGAAATTTGGTCCTAAATCAAGGTCCTTTGTCAATCAAATGTCTGACACATCAAAAGGAAGAAGAGGGAGGCAGAGATTGAGATCTAGCCACTCCCAGTGGCCCTGTTCCCAGATTATCTTACATTGAGTGCAGTGTTTCTGAGACAGGTAAACGCACACACAAACACACACACATACACACATACACAAAACTGCAGGCAGGAGCTCCTCTTGTGACCATACCTCGGGTCCAGCCTTCAGACTGGGAGTGGTGATGTGGGGTATATTGTGCTCTAAGGCTGAGTGAGACAAGTGAGCAGACAATGCAGAGTGGATGTGTCCAAGTGATGAATGGGATGACATGTGCTGCTTTATCCACAGATAAGAATGAGGTCAGTGGGAGAGGCTGCTTGATGGAGGTCCCTTGATGCCAGGCCACCTGGGGGATTTCTTTGCCCAACTCCTGTTCCAGCTACAGCCAAAACGCTGATCTGGATCCTCAGTGCTAAATGATCTCTTGGGCTAGGATGAAAGTTGTGATTTCCTTGAGTGGCTCATCCATCTTGTCCAGCCATTACAGCAGAAAAGACAGCAATTGCATGACATCAGCCCATCTTCAGAGAAGAATGCGAATGTTCCAACAGGAGGTTATCTCTTGCAGGGAAGAAAACAGTCCCACTGTTATGGGACGCACCAAACTTCAGGCAGATCCTTCAGCCTCATGCTTTGCCCGAACAACAGGCAGCTTCATCTGTGAGTACATTTCAAATGCTAACTTACTGTTGCTCACATGACTTATGCCTTCACCTCTCTGCTAAAATACATTTCAAAGGTAAGTCAAGACAATTGATGTTATGATCTCTATAATTAGGGAATTTCCTGATCGTTCACCTAATTTATAATTGAATAGCACACTATTAGATGTTTACTGTATAAATTACAGCATTTCTTTTGCACAAAATCTAGGTATTAATCAACATCTTTAGAGTAGATTCAGGCCTGAAAAAAGACAGGCATAGAACCAGGGATGTATTTCTTAGAAGAATATCAGGAAAATATTGGGAAGTACTCTAGTATGGCTGTGGAGTAGAATTTAAATTTTAACTTAAAGTTAGCTTCAAGTATAAGGTAACTATAAGCAAAATTGTGGGACTGCATGTGTTCAGAGATATTTTAAAAATAAAGTGTGGCTGGGCCACTGGTGGCTCACATCTATAATCTTATCTACTAAGGAGGCTGAGATCTGAGGATCATGGTTCCAAACCAGCCTAGGCAGGAAAGTACATGAGACTCCATCTTCAATGAGCACTAAGAAAGCCAGAAGTGGAGCTGTGGCTCAAGAGGTAGAGTGCTACCCTTGAGCAAAAAAGTTCAGGGATGGAGCCAAGGCCCTGAATTCAAGTTCTAGGACCAGCACAAAATATAAATAAATACATAAATAAATACATAAATAAATAATAAAGTGTGAAAAATGTCTTGCATGTTAAAAGAGTCAATGAAAATTAGCTTTTTAAAATAGAAATTTACTGATTATTTACAATATCAGATATTCTGGACTGTCACAAAGGAAGGTGGAGAAGGACCAATTTTCATGAGAATTCATTTTCAACAAAAGTGTCCCCCAAACAGAAACAGAGGTAACTGGCAAAGTCAGCATAGACTGTGCCTCTATCTATTTCCTGTACTAAATGAAGAGAAACAAAGCAACCAATTTTGACACCTTCATTTAGCCAGGGACAGAATGACACTGATCCCTCCCACTAGGAACTGAGATCTGACATCTGCAGGAAAGCATGATCAAAGCAGGAAGAAGCCACATCTCAAAAATGGGAAGCTGGTTTGATGTCTTGTTGACCAGAGGAACTTCTCAGAAGCATGTAAGTCAAGGGTCCCAGAGTGGGAACTTCCCTTGATAACAATCTCCTGATGGTCTCAACATAGTTCCATTTCCTACAGGTCCAGAGGTGGCACTCAATCACTGATTGGCTCACAATTCCCATCCAAGTGTTGGGTCGGTGGATAGGGAGCAGAGTTTGGGAAGCCATGAGTTCTTGCCAAAGCTGAAAAGTGTGGGCAGAGCGTTGATGAGGCCATTGAAGTTCTTTGTGAAAGAGCCCAAGAGGCTGGAAGAGGTTGTCTGGGGCCCACAAAGTAGAGACTGGGGCTCTGTCCTCACAGAGCACAGCCCCCTCCCCACCCCCAACTGACCTCAGGATGCCTCTTGGCCTCAATGGACATCCAGCAATTTCCTAGTCCCAGAAAGCGTGTGGTGGCTGTGTACCATCAGGGCAGGAAAAGATGGGGACCATGGAGTGAGATGGGTAGAAAAAGCACTGTCTTCTCTGGCACTGGCCACCTTCCCTTCCAAGGGCAGCTGACATGAAGAGGAGCTTGAGTTCTGACTGGGGGTCTCCAGTCAAGAGAAAAGGGGGAATACGTAGTGACCACGGCAGGCCCAAACAAATCAGGCAAGGGCATCTCCCCACACTCACTGAGCTCCATGAATAAATAACATGAATTAAATAGGGGACGCGCAGAAGAGAGGGCAGAGGTATCATCTACCCAATTCTCACCTCTTCACTCACACACACACACACACACACACACGCACGCACGCACGCACGCACGCACGCACCAAGCGGTGGATGAGATGAGCCAGGTTGGCTGCCATCTTAGGAGTCTGTCAGATGGGCAGCCTGACTGAGGGATGTCTGTCACTCATGGTCCACCACAGTCGTGGGGCGCAGAGGAGCGGAGGCCAGCGAGGCATGTGTGGTAGAGGGTGGAGGCCGCTGAGGACTCTGGCACCTGCAGGGGTGGAGATGAGGCAGGGGAAGAGGAAGTTAGTGCCCTGAGGATAACAGGAAAGCAAAGAGCTTTCCCATCCTTTCCCCACTGCCTCGAGGGTACAGTCAACACCCTCTTATAGCTTCAATCTATGGTACTCCCCTGCCTCACTGGGACTAAGGTAGAACTGACCAGGATCTGGACTTTCGGACTTTAGTTGTGGAAGGTCTTTCCAGAAAGCTGTCCAACCGCATGAGCCTCTCCAAGTGTAGGGTACGAGGGTCTTGTTCTTGATCATGAGAAAATTCCAGCTCAAAGACAGCTGGAGGGGACACATCCAACTCCAAAAACATTATATTTTCAGCCTGTAGTGAAATCACATGTCAGATATAAACAGCAATCTCAATGACCTCAATAATCATATCTTCCAGGACTCAAATCGATCTTTCCTGCCCGGGCTGGCTTCAAACTATGATCCTCAGATCTTGGCACCCTGAGTAGCTGGATTACAGGCATGAATCACCAGTGCCAGGCCACTGGGTGTCACAAGAACTTAAAGGAAAGCACAAGCCATGAGCATCACTTTCCAGTTCTACCTTCTTACCCGATATCTGGGGTGAGACCCCATTGCCATGGCAACCCGAGCATACTGGCTGATAGGCCTCTTGTAGCCCACTGCAGATGTTGGCCGCTTCTTCATTTGGCTGTTATTGCTGTAGGGAAGAGAACATATTAGAATGGATTTCCTTCCAACACAAATGGAAATGGTACCATGAGGAACCAAATATCATTCAGGTAGCCAACAGGCCATGTGGACTGTAGCTCTAAAATGTTTTTGATTTTTGATTTATTTTTATTTTATTTTGATCTGGTCGTGGGGCCTGAACTCTGGGCCTGGGCGCTGTCCCTCAGTTCTTCAGCTCAAGGCTAGTGCTCTACCACTTGAGCTACAACGCCACTTCCAGCTTTTTTCTTTTTGCTTATGTGGTGCTGAGGAATCGAACCCAGGGCCTCAGGCATGCAAGGCAAGCGCTCTACCACTAAGCCACCTTCCCAGCCCCATGTTTTTGATTTTTTGTGTGCCAGCCCTAGGGCTTGAGCTCAGTACGTGGTCACTGTCTTTGAGCTTTTGTGTTCAAGGTTGCTCAAGGCTAGTGCTCTATCAATTTGAGCTACAGCTATAGCTACAGCTCTACCTCTAGCATTTTGGTTAATTGGAGATAAGCAAGGACTTGCTTGCTCAAATAGGCTTCAAACCTCAATTCTCAGATTTCAGCCTGAGTAGCTAGGATTTCAGATGTGAGCCACTGGTGCCTGGCTCAGAATTAAATCTTTCTCTTGAGTTGAGTGTGTGCATTGCTGTTGTTTTGTGCTGGTTCTAGGACTTGAACTCAGGGCCTGGGTACTGTTCCTTAGGGGTTTTTTTTGCCCAAAGCTACCATTCTACCACTTGAGCCACAGCTCCACTTGTATGTTTTTGGTGCCTATTTTAAATCTTTTTTTAAAATATATTTTTTATTGTAAAGATACTGTACAGAGGGGTTACAGCTACACTAGTAAGGTAATGAGTACATTTCCTATCCAGCATTGTTACATCCTCACTGGAGTGAAGAGTCTCATGGAATTTCTTGCTTGGGCTGGCTTTGAACCTCAATCATCAGATTTCATCCATTAGTACCTAAGGACTGTAGATGTGAGCTACTGGCCACTGGTGCATGGCTTCTTGTGGGCTTGGAAATTGAAATCCTCTTGCTTCAGCCTCCCTAGTAAGTTTGTTGCTGATCAATGTCATATGCTTTTATGCTTTTGTTGTTGTTAGTTGTGGGGCTTGCCATTGGGCCGGGACGCTGTCACTAGCTCTTTGTGCTCAAGGCTAGTGTACTACCACTTGAGCCACAGTATAACTTCTGGTTTTTGACTGGTTAATTGGAGATAAGCATTATGCTGATTTTTATATGTAGGTATCCATAAACAATATGCCATTTGTATGCCTATTTTATTTTTATTATTTTGCTAGTCCTGGGCTTGAACTCAGGGCCTGAGCACTGTCCCTGAGCTTCTTTTGCTCAAGGCTGGTACTCTACCACTTAAGCCACAGTGCCATATCCAGCTTTTTCTGTTGAAGTGGTACTGAGGAATCGAACGCAGGGCTTCATGCATGCTAGGCAAGCATTTCCAGCCGCTATATGCCTATTTTAAATCTTTTTTTAAAATATATTTTTTATTGTAAAGATACTGTACAGAGGGGTTACAGCTACACTAGTAAGGTAATGAGTACATTT